CCTGCCGGAGAAGGAACACCTAGATAAGGTTACACAGGAACGTGTACAGAGAAGGAGTCTCCACCACCTCCCTGGGCGGCCTGTTCCAGTGTTCTGTCACCCTCACTGAGAAGAAGTTTCTTCTCAGGTTTAAGTGGAAAATGATGCCAAGTGGCATGGTTAAACTCCATCAGGTTGGCATCAGCCCACCTCACAAGCGTGTCAAGGTCCCTCTGGATGGCATTCCTTCCCTCCAGCGTATCAACTGAACCACACAGCTTGGTGTCATCAGAAAACTTGCTGAGGGCGCACTCAATCCCACTGTCCATGTCAGCGACAAAGATGTTGAACAAGACCGGTCCCAACACCAATCCCTGAAGGACACCACTCGTTACTGGTCTCCAGGCAGACATTGAGCCACTGACCACAACTCTTTGTGTGCGGCCATCCAGCCAGTTCTTTATCCACCGAGTGGTCCATTCATCAAATTGATGTCTCTCCAATTTAGAGACCAGAATGTTGTGTGGGAGAGTGTCAAATGCTTTAAACAAGTCCAGGTAGATGACATCAACTGCTCTACCCCGTCCATCTGTTCTGTAGCCCTATCATAAAAGGCCACCAAATTGGTCAGCTATTTATATTTTATACAGAGAATGTCTCTAAAGTTTCTTGGCAACTACATATCAAAATTGTAAAGGAGACATTGGAACTGAAGAACTTTGAATTTGTAAATCACTGCAATGTCATTTTCACCAATTATATAAAGGTTTCATCTTTAGTTGTGTCTATCTATATCTTTGATGCAATGTGAATTCTGGGGTTTATAATTTCTAGTGGTAAAACTATGAAGCTTAGCTTTCAGGATGTTGTGAATCCTGATTTAGGATCCTGATGACTATGCCAGTTTCTTGCAGAATGAGTGGTTTAGGTCACTTAAAGAATCACTATTAAATGTATCAGCAAAAGTATTTTTAATATGAATTTGTAAAAGTGACTTAACAGAGTCAAATTGGAATCAATTTAGAATGATTTACACAGAGACCAAAGAAACAAAAGTGTAAGGGAGACCTGTTGAGTCATGAGGCTCAGAGTAGACCTCCCTGCTTTCTGAACTCATGGAGTTTAGGTGCAGCTATGTCTAATCTTAGTCTCAGCCTTGGACGAGAGTTTATGTCTAAAAGAACTGACTACCTGGATTTAATCAGCATTAATTTAGCATGCTGTCAAGCAGTTTACTAAGGACCTGCTGCAAGTAAGAGGTCTCTGCCTTGGGTAGGAAAGATATTCTAGTCTCAGTAAGAAATCTGCAACCTTGAGCTCAAGGAGAGATCACTACCATACAGCCAAGCTGCCTAGCACAGGGAAAGCCCCTGGCTCAGGAAGAGCCAAGAAGGCTGCCATGCCATGAGATAAAGTGGTTGGCTTGTAATCAAATTGCATACAATGGGAAAGGTATGCATAAGACCCTCTGTAGCCACAGCTTTCTTTTTTCATTGATAAATGAGTCTTGGAAAAACTAACCACTATTCTTGTGTTAATTGCATAATCAGTGTTTCAAGCTTGTACACATCACAATGATGCTCACTGGGTCACTCTGCCCCATTGTGGGTTTCTTAGAGGAGTTCTTGGCCCAGCTATGGTTCAGGCCTTTATCTCCATTGGAGCCTGCACCAAACTACTGCTGGTTTGTTTAAGGGGGTTGAGAGTCCATCCATTTACACAGAATCAAGTCATGTATTACCAAACACTGTCTCTGCTCTAGAAAAGCTTTCAAATGTCTATCAGCACTTTCAACACAAACTGGTAAAGCCAGTTCAACTGGTAATGCTGTGTTCTTCCAAATGAGGTCATAGCATTTTGTATATGTTCCTACCAAACAAGCTAGAGAAAATTCTCCAAGTGGGAATTTGTCAAGCAATACATTCACCTCATATTTTATTATAACTCTGCTCTGCATAGAAGCTCACCCTATGTATTGAAAAACATAGCATTATGCCAGGAGTATTGGTCCTCTCAGATGTTTTCTTTGAGACATGGTAGAAAAGATGGCAGAAAATAGGCTGCAATTTCTCAGGTGCTAAGGGAGAAGGCAAAATAAAATGACCATCTCAGGGAACATGGATCAAGTTCTACAGCGTGGCTTTTGAGTTTTATTCAGTTCCACACAAAACAGCATCATTTTTACTGTCTTAAACTTCCATACTCTAAATACTAGTCTCATTCTTCTGCTTACTGTGGGCACCCTGTATCTGTAGGTAGGTGAGCTTAGAGCAAAGCCAAGGGAAAAAGGTCCTAAATAACCTAAAACTATGATTTAGGAAGCATTTCAAAGAATTGTCTCCAGTGGAGAAAATAATACAATATTATAATTTGTCCAAATTAAGCAGTGAGTAATGGAATGAAAATTACAAGTTGAACACACAAATATTAAACGCAACGGGCAAAATTTGCACTTCTGAAATATGCTTGAGTGATTGTCACAGACGCTGAAGTTTGAGGAATAAATGAAGACTAACTGCAACACAAATGGCAGGAGCCAGTTTCCTCACAAACCCCACTGGCTTCAGGTTTGGAAAAACCACAAAACCATTATTTATGTCAGTGTTTACCTTTGTTCTGAACAACCATTAAGTCACCTGCGTGTGTGAACTATACCATGACCATTTTATACATCATAACTATCAATTCAAAAGCACCAACCAGTCAAGGCTGGATATAAACCAGCAGTTTCGATGTACATCAGACCTCACTGCCAACTGCATACAGCAGCAAATACTCTCTCACAGAACAGAGATGCTGAAACATGCAGGAAAAATTAACTCACACCGCTCACAAACAAGGCTCCCCTTAGCCCTGGGCCAGATCACAGACTAAACACTGCCACCACCGCATTCTCTTTGTATGCATAGCTAGCAAACAGAAGCCAGGTTAATAAAGGCTTTGCTGGTTCACTCATTTTGGCTGGGGGAAGAGGGTTGTTAACAGCAGCACATCACTCTGCATGAACTCTGAAGAGTCACCTTATATGACCGGGCTGCCTGCCCACCCATCAGTTATGGTCACATTTGACACCACTGTAGAGGTCTCAAAAATGGACTTCTTGCACATTCTTTAGAAATCAAGACCCAGGTAAAGTGGACTGTGTCACATTAGCGCCCATCCTGTGCAAAACCAATGATAAATAGAGTACTTTATCAGTTGCAGAGCAGCAGGCCAATTGACAGATGCAATGCTCTAACATGTACACCACTTCTTTGCCTGGATTCATCTCATGGCATACTGGATGTGTTGAGCGACCAGAGCATTCATGAAACACAACAGCTAGAAGAAGCTGACAGGGAGGAGTTATTGTGATAGGCAGGTGAGGACAAATCCATATCAAACATAATATATCCTTAGCTGTATCATTCAAGGAAGCTACTTACCTCTCATGAGGGAGCCCACAAGAGATTAAATCAATTTGCATCCAAAAACCTCCTTTTGCACTCAGTGTGTGCATAAGTATGCTCTCATAGTTACTGAGTGCACTAGAAAACTTTGAACACTACACAGTGTTTTTTAAGTCAGAGTCAAGCCCATTCCTTTAACAAGAAGAAAAAAAAAAAACAACCCCAAAATGATGGAAGCTCTCAATTCTCTTTGTCAATTGCTATCAGCTTTCACACAAACAGTATGAGAGGAGATGACATCAGATACTTGCCTTTCCTCAGCTGAGGAACATTGAGAAACTGGACAGAAGTTGCACTCAGCATGCAAAAAGAAAAAAATGATTATAATTTTTTCCAGGAAAATGGATATAGGCAAAACCCAAGACTCCCATGAAGGTCCCCAAAGCAAATTAAACATGATTTGTGAAAACAAAACCGTTCATCCCTTGTGGACAGAGAAGTTAGCACTAAACTAGCGACATGTTATATTACTTCAGGAACCTCTTCTGTCTCTGATTTCATCCCACAAATATGTGAAGCACGGTACATCAGGCTTTTTGGATCCATAGATGCATGGAAAAATGAAATGCTTCCATATTCTTTTCAAGTGGTAAGAAAAGACAATCTATGGGATGGCTAAACAGCAGTTCTGCCCTGTGGAACTAAAAACGTGATTTCAAATAAGTTACAACAAGAAGTTGCCCTCAAGCAACAGAAACCTGTATTCCACCTCCTCATCTTCCCCCCAAACCTGCATAAAATAAATTTATTGCTTCCTAGAGAAGTACAGCTGGATTCAAATAACAGTGTGGAATCACCCTTTACCTGAACAGAATATATTTGCTTTGAAATGATGAGTGCTAATGACTGCTTACAGCTATTTAAGATACATTAAAAATGAAGGGAATTTCATACCAGGTATTTCTAAAGAAGGTGAGACTTCATGCCTTCAAAACAAAGTACTCACAGGACACTAAGTGCTAATTTGCAATATAATTTAAAAGTAGTGTTTTTTTGTTGTGGGGGTTTTGGTTTGGTTTTTTTTTCATCACAAGAGAGTGCAAGTGTTGCTGTTTCAAAGGAACAGCAGACAGGCTTTCTTCGATGTGCATTCATTTACCTTTTTGGAAGTGGGTCACAGCACTAGCTGATCAGAACAGTCAGTGGTATTTACCTCCACCCACTGAAGCAGTAAACTGTTCCATAGAAGGTTCAGAATCTTTACATAGGAATAAGAGAATCTGAAGAAGGACACTCCTTGTGAAGCTACAGGATGAAACACCACACCCCAGTGGAAAAGATTACAGGCAACTGGTACACTTGTGTTTTAGAATGCTAATACACGCATACACCTCCAAATATATATTGTGTCACAAGCTTGAACTGCAGGAGATCTCAATGATTTTCAGATCTTTTCCGAATGCTTAAGTGACTCCATTAATCTTTCATACATTCTTGCTGGCTGCATGAGAACAAGAGAACAATTCTTGGAGAACATTCAGTCTAATGCTGCTGTACCTGCCAGCTCAGAAGAAAGCAGCAGAGAAGAATTCTGAAAACTCTTCCATAAAGTAAACCAGTGAGAAATAGCAGTAAAATGTTTAATGCCTGTAATTTATTGTATACATACTCTGCAAAACTTATATGCATTTGGTGTGTGCAAAAGTGTACATTTTGACAACACCAGAAAACAGTTAAGCCATGTACGAGTTTTTAACCTGATTTGTCACATTGTGTAAAAAGACATTGTGCACAAATGATATCCCCAAAGGAAAAAAAATATCATTGGCTAAAACTAGAAGCACCCTTATTTACACACTAACACTTCAATATTGCATCAAACCCACTCACCAAAATAAATAGTACATTCATCACAATTTAAACACCAGTCTCTCCACATATTTATTTTCTTTCTGACATGTTTTGGTCTCCAGAAATACGCTCTATCTAGAAATATGCATCAGTTACTAGACTATGTTACAAAATGCAAAAATAATAGAAAATTTGTTTTCCTGGACAATACTTTGGGCTTTACATAAAAATAAATCCAGATTTCCATAGAGATCTCATATACTTCTTGAAAGATTTTTATTTTAAAGCACAGCACAGAGTTGCACACTAAGGCTTCCTGTGATATGCAAAACCCTGGCCTCCAAAAGATGTCGCTGTAAAGTGAAATACAGCTCAAGTGTAAATACAAGACATTTTCAAAAAGTAGTCATCAATAGAAAGTGCCCTTCATTTGATTTAGCATTAACAGCAAAGAAGTAGCTACTGTAATTGTGCAATCAAATCCAGACCTGGAAGGGTTTTAGCAAAAGTATGTAATTTCATACTATCAAGTTTAAGGATATAGAATCTGAGATAGCAGAAACCAACCAACCTTTTTATACTCCTACATTCATTATTTTTTTGACACAATTTAGTGAAAAAGGCACATTGTCAAACAGTGAATTAAGAGTTTAAAAACCAAACTAGAATCTCATTAAATACAATTAAACCATTAGGTTAACATCAGATCCTCAATAAACCAATATAAGCGTTCTTCCAGTTTTTCTTAACCTCAAAGTCAGATGCACTTTGGACAAGTACTGAAGTACTCTCATTAGATTAATACTACTAATCTGGCAAACAGTAAACATGTTTTTGGATACAAGGTCAGGAATTAAACCCCAAAACCTTAGTTCCTTCATAGCCCGTTTACAAATACGCAGCAAATGCAAACGCGTTAAAATCCAAACATTTGTACAAAATTTGAAACTCATTAGCATCCCATGCCAATTATGAGAAAGTACTTCTTGACTGTAAAATTACAAATGTGTCCTTGAATCGGTTTTCATATGAAATCAACACAATTTAAGCAATGATCATTGTGTGAAGAAACAGTTGTAACAGTGTCTTAGGGAGGCTAGCAGAGTACATTCCAGTCACCATCTAAAAGACAAAGTGCTTTACAGATTAAGAAATTTAACTGATCTTGCATGGTTAAATAAAAATAAAAAAAATCAGGAAGGTGAAATAACTGGGGTTTATGTAACCTGTATTTATCTGAAATGCAGATTCAATTCCCAACTGAACCAATTCTGAATATATTTCTTTTGCTTCATAAGAGACTTTTCCCAGCCAGGCAGGAAGTTGCTCACAGCTGATCTAGGTATCAGGTTTGGCAGACCTAGAGCCTTTCTCCAACTAAAAAGAATTAAAAAGCAAAAACACAGTAACTTGATCATGGTCCCAGTGTTCATGGTCTTGAATGGATAATTCTAGGAACTACGACAGAAAATTTCAGATAGCCCCAATGTACCAGGGTGAGTACAACACACTTTAGACAAGCGGAGAGGTTATGCTATCTTGCGTGGTCTCAAGTGCATACACTGATAAATGGGTTTTGTTGGTTAATATAGAAAGTTAAAAAATACATAGAGAGCAAGGATGATAGTATCTTTATCTGGGCTCCCTGTCAGATAATACTGAATTAGTTTATAGAATCTATGCCAATAGCTTACTCATGTCAGTGTTTTACTGAGGCAGTGAAATGCTACACCATTGAGAGAAAACATCTTAAAAAGGCAAATCTGTTTTTTCTTACATTAAGAGTCAGATGTTTAAACTTCAGCAGCTTCTAAGACTGTTCCTCACATGTTGCTATCTGAACTGCTTCCTAAAAGCAGCATTGTTCAGAATAGCCCTGATAGAAAAACAACAAAGGAACCTTTCCTATGGGATAATTTTTCATTTGTATTCCTTTACTTCCTCCTTTTTTGTACTTTTCCAAGTACACCTAGCATTAAAACATAACAGCCTCAGCAGCAGAAGCCAGAGGTACTATCAGTAGAGTCCTGGAGCTTGAGGCAAAGCTGAGTAGTGGTACTGGTGACCTTTGAAGGGCGACCTGGGGAAATCAAAAGCAGGTGCAACATCAGACTTGAGCTTCAGACTTCCAGTACAACTCTTGCAGACCTACATGAGCCCTGTGCTGACTGTAAACAAATTCAGTTACTGAAACAAACAGTCTTTAAGTGCATAGTTAGAAATAATGTGCAAATATGGGCATTAAGGTAAGTAACTGAACTAGATTTCCTGCTGTACATAACATTTTAGCTTTTTGGTTTGATGAAATTAACCGTAAGTATTAACCAGTCAAAAAGAAGTTGTTAATATTGAAGAGCTGCAAATACTTTCTAACAGAACTTAATTCTGATGTGCTTTCTAAATAGTAAACCTAATTAGATAAATGACTGCTTCACATTGCAAATCACTTAACACATCGGATGTTTAATGCAAGAAAAAAACATGTGCACCAAACACAGTCTGTAAAGCAGCAGAAGCTATTAAGCAAATGGGAAGATTTACAGGGCAGGAAAAGAACTTCCAAGCATATGCTTGAGCCCAAAAGCACATGTTACATACAAGCATTAGGAATTCCTGTTTTCAGGGTGTGCATTTATCATCCTGAACTAGATTCGTACTGGAATTCCTGACACAGCAAAACCCAACGTAATCTTTTGGCCATCTTTAACAGTTTACAAATGATATGCACTTTTCTGTTTAGAAATAAAGAGATTCAAATTGGTTTTATGGATCTTCAAATCAGAAAATATGCAGCACTTTATTGCTTTAAACATCTGTGGCAAGGGCTGAATTTATACCCAAGCTGCTTCTGAAGAGATGATGACATCTTAATACTTCGAGGCTCAAGTTGGGAGAGAGAATAGGATATAAAGCAATTTCTCCAAGTCTCAAGAAATATTAAGGAACAAGAATGCTATTCTAGTCTTTCAAGTGAATGTAAAATTGGTTTACCTCTATATACTGATTAGTTCTGAGTCAGTGCATAGCTAGTCAATATTTCTGCTGGCATCTTGAACAGATTTAATCAATGGAAATATCTATTCATTTTATTCCACTTAATATGCATTAGTGCATTAATTTCTTAATAAAAAAACAACCCTGGCAAGTATTAAAAATAAATATCTTATTTAACTCAAACTAAAGCCTTGCTTTTCAGTACTTTATCCCTTTAAATATTATTTGCCCTCTAATAAGCAAATGGAAACTGAAGTAGAATAAGAGATGTATGGAAGCAGAGGGTAACAGAAACATGACAAAGTCAACACCATCAGTCAGTTAATGTGTCCTCATCTTCTTAGACTGTCTCTTGCGTTTTAATTCTTCTTCTTCCCGTCTCAATTCTTCTAAGTCCTCCTGAACACCGAGCCTTAAGCTGCCAAATAAGATTAAATTCTTTCAGGAAACACGAAGCTTGACTTTTATCAATCCCCCAACAAAAACAATGCTAAAATTACATCTGATTTGAGCAAAAACTTTACAAAAGTTCAACAATCAAGGGTTTTCTTAATTATAGCAAGAATACAACTTTAAGAAATCAAGATATCATGAAATTAAAATAAAATCCTTGGAAGGAAAAGTTACTTTAAGAAAGTAAAATGGTAAAAAAGTGGTTTTAATAGGAAAAGTAATTTTTTTTTTTCCAAAAAGAACCTGCTGAAACACATACATCAATTCCTGCAAATGTAGCTCTTACATACAAGTCATAGCAGGACTGACTCTCATCAGCTTCTGAGAGCCACCTAAATCGACCTTTTACACTGGCAAGGGAGACAACAGATAATGTCAAACAGTAATGAACCAAACGATTTGTTGCAGCTTCCCAGCTTAAGGTACCATTGAGGTAGCTACAAGCACAACATTGCTCCATCCTCACCCCACCTAGCTCTTGTGAACAGGCCCATGGAAGAAACTCCGCTAATACAGCATGTTTAGCTACATCCCTGCATAATTTCTGCAGCTTCCTAGAGGTCAGTATGTTGAAGGTGATACTGAGAACAGTATCTGCAACAGCTGTTCTCCTCTTCAACAAATAAGGGCTGGATAGTCTTGTTGATTTGGTACTAGGAATGGGTGTGGCAGTTACTAGCTATTGGTAACTTCCTTATCAGCTTTTGCTTCTTTTGCAGCCCAACCAAGTGCATTTGTACACTTATAGTTCATTATGAAGCAACATAAGGCAGCATAGCATGCACCTCAATGCAAAAGGTTGAGCCACATGACAATGAGGATTCAATTCTTTTGGGCTGAACTGCTCCAATACAGGCTATAAAATGGATTTTATGCCTAAACAAGCACAGCAAAGTCATCCCGAATTCAGGAAACTGCAGTCATTTCAATTAAGAATAGAAACAAACACATCAGGGATCTTTGTGATGAAACTGGCTTGAAACATTTTTTTCATTTCAACTTAGAACTTAACAACTACAATTTTGATGGGATTGTTTGGTTAGAAGCAGCTTCTCATTTCAAGGTTGCTTTTAACCAAACTCTCAGTCAAAAAGCACCTAAGCATGGAAAAATAGTTAAACTCAATTTTACTCAAGTTACTTATCTCCCCTTCCTTTATGCTGCACACACAGATTTCCAATTCTGCAAAACCTCACTCTTGATTTTCACAGACTACAGTTAGTAGCAATATCATTGTAATATTAGTTATTTCCTCTTCCTCCATTTAACAGACCATAGCTTTGCACATGCTGCAACTATTCACCAGGAACAAGGAGAAATAAGGACACTGACTATCACTTCAAAAAGATACAAGTTTCCAATGCTCAAGGCACCTTCTGAATAAAAAAAAAGTTTCAGTTGAACAAAACCCATTTGTTAGCTCAGTATATTCCAATATTTTCTACTATCTACAAAAACCTTTTATAACTTAAAGCTTGTTCCATCAGCCATTAAAATCCAAAGTAAATTAGTTTATGAACAACAGGTTCTATAGCAACAGGAGTTGTATAGGTCTAGAGGGCAAAACCAGTGAAAATATATTTGTATTCTAAATCACTGATTGCAAAAGTTCAGAGTACTTTAGACAACAAAATATGCACACAAACACATGTCTATAAATAACATACACACCCCCCACCACCCCAAAAAAACCCACCTCCTTCCAGTCCTCAAACTGGCAGAGGTAAAGTTTGGGACAAATTGATGGGTTTCGTATTTCAGCAGAAGTACTTTTAAACAGATTTTTGGGCATAAGTTTGCATTTTTGTGTGTTTTTTTTTTTTGTTTGTTTTTAATAAGCAGAGTTTGTGATGCATGAGAATGAACATACAAGATTTACTTACTGTACCCACCACAGGCTGGCTTTCATCTTTACCAAAGCTCTCTTACAAATAACACTAAGGCATATTTATCTCCACAATAAAAAGTGGCAAGTACCCACTCTAATTCAGTCCCATGCCTTGGCAGTGGGGTCTTCCCTCTTTCTATCAGTTTTAAATTCGTGCATACCTCCTAGCTTCTTCTTTCTGTTGCTCTCTCCAGCTGCTCTCCATATAACGTAAGGCATAATCACTTTCATCTTTGTACCTGGAAATTAAATATTAGTTTTCAGCATACTAAAAAACTACAATCATGTACAATTCAGTTATGAATTCACATCACTTCTTAGAAATAATTACCTTGCCACACACAGATTTTAAAGTTTTGAAAGAATCTAAATTACAAGCCTTTAAAATGCTTGCTTTCTTATGCTTTGTCAGATGAGAGGGAAGGATTTAAATAAGCCAAAGAGCAGCCTTCACTTCCCAGCAGTTTCTAATCGTATCAAGTTAGATCCTCTTACAGAGCAGCTATCACTATTACATGCATATATTCAGGCAGCAACATTTGATGAATTCCGGAATATTGCAGACTGCTACAGAAACCATTTTAAACCCAGTAACAGGAAGGAGTTGCTATGATTTATACAGGTGAGACATTGAAGAAGCTGTATTGTTTTTCAACTATGTTCTATTGCATCAAATTTTATGGAGCGCGGCAGCAGTGTGAAAATTCAAGGTCCCTTGAGCACAGAAGCAGTTCTAATGATTGTTAAATTTCTGCAATGCAAACCCAGTTTTGGATACCAGCACTTCCTCTAATTCAAAAGCATTTATATTTGAACTATATTGATTTCTGTTGTTCTGTTGCTTGCTCTGCAATACCTTAAAATTAACATTTTCTTACCTTTTCCGGTCATAGCCGAATATTTCCCGAATATGTTTTGATATTTCTTCCTGGGGTTCCCCTTCATCTTCAATGAAGTCATCCATTTCAGAGTCATATTCATCATCATCATCATCATCATCATCTATTTGTCTCTTGTAACTAATAGGTGGTCTCCCAAGCCCTAATTGACAGGAGAGTGAAAAAAATCATTAATTAATAGCATTAATATAATATTGATTTGACAGTACTTCCACTTGGTATGATCTGGACACAGCAATTTTACAGCTCCAGGCTTCAAGGTGGAAAACTTTTGCCTCAAGTTAACTAACAATTCTCAGAAACAGGAAATACATCCCTTAAGTTGTGCTTTAGAAGATTACATCTTAGTATCACCAATGATGCCAGCCTGAGGAAACTACCAGGCAGAAGTCTATGCTCTTGTTCAGGGCTTTCTACGCACTTATTTGCTAGAGTTCATGCTGCTTGTTCCTGTTCAGAAACAACTTTTCAGAACAGCTTGCTTACTGTTAAGATGAATTTTCCAAAATATGTACACTTCAGTCACAGGTTTGCTGTGTGGTTTTAGTTTTTATGTACCGCTTTAAACATCCATTATTGAAGACACTAGGATTTTAAAGACTAAGCATAATTAATATAGGAAGTGAATTCTTTCATTCTTTTTCTTCTAACAGCATTCATACATCAACATCCATCATAGGCTGCTTAGTTTTCTTTCATGTAATACTTCACATCCCAGTCTGGATTTCAAGAAGCATGAGCATAGGTAAAAAATAAGCTAGAAATTGTAAAGCAGAAAAAAAAATTTCTACTGTTAAATACGGTATTTTGGCTAAGACTTCCTAATTGTGCCTATAATTGTCAAAGGCCCTCTGTGACATAAACACATACATACATTAAAAATATAAACCAAATAACTGAAATATATTTGCTCTAGAATTTCATACCTTGTGGATGAAACACAGGTCTATGACCTTGAAAAGATCTCATGCCATTTATCTGTCCATTGCTGGGTCTTGTTACTAAGTTTTTAGAAGAAATAGTTTCTGATACAACAGTACACTTCGGTTTTACTGTAGTACCCAAACCACTGCCTGGTCGCCCAGGTCCCGCACTTGAGCTGATGCCTGGCCTTCCTGGTCCTGTTCCTGAACTGGTGCCTGGTCGCTTGGCTCCCATGCCTGAACTGACTCCTGGCCTTCCTGGTCCTGTACCCATGCTGCTGCCTGGTCGCCCAGGTCCAGTACTTGGTCTGATGCCTGGCCTTCCTGGTCCTGTACTCGTGCTGCTGCCTGGTCGACCAGGTCCTGTACTCGTGCTGCTGCCTGGTCGACCAGGTCCTGTACTTGTGCTGCTGCCTGGTCGACCAGGTCCTGTGCTCGTGCTGCTGCCTGGTCGACCAGGTCCTGTGTTTGTGCTGTTGGCTGGCCTTCCTGGCCCAGTGCCCAAGCTGCTGCCTGGTCGCCCAAGTCCTGTGCCTGAGCTGCTGCCTGGTCGCCCAGGTCCTGTGCTTGAGCTGCCTGCTGACTTCCCAGGTTTCATGCTTGAGCCACTGCCCAGTCGCCCAGGTCCTGGGCTTAAACCACTTCCCGGCCTTCCAGGTCCCACACCAGAATTGCTGCTCAATCGCCCAGGTCCTGCACCTGAACCACCACTTGGATGCCCAGGTCCTCCTTTCCCTAAGCTGCTGCCTGATCGCTTTGCATTGGAGTTAATTCCATGCTGAAGGAATGCAGTATTTCCCAATTTCATATGGACAGACTTTTTTAGGCTGGATTCTTTAGCAGGCAGAGGCTTCTGAGCCCCATTGGCTGTTGCTTTTGAGGGTGGCACATGAGAACTTGAGCCGGACCTTCCAATACCATTGACAGGCAATTTACCATGACTGCTACCAGGAGTGCTTTTTAAGGAGCCATTTTGTGAGTTTTTTCCTGTTTGATCAAATCTGGAGGAAGATGATGACTGTGAATATTTTTCGGTCAATGCTGGTGTTTTGGATTTCTTATCAGTACCACTCATAGAAGATGTCAGACTGCTTTTTGGTGTGGAATGTTTATCTAAGGAGCTTTTGTTAAGCTTTGCATTCACAGATTCTTTCTGAGAAGTCACTTTTTTGGAAGAACTGGATATCCCTGTATTCTTAACCTCCTTCTCGCTTTTCCTGTGCATTTCTACTCTTTTGTTTTTGCGTCCTAAGTACTCCCTCTCTCTCAATTCTTCTGCTGTTCTGGGTCTCTCTTCTACTTTTTTCACTGGTTTTATTTCCACCGGTTCATACTGCTTTTTTTCAGCAAGCCTTAAGAGCTCTTCAAAGTTCAGAGGTGCTGGTGCACTTTTGGGAGGTGCCTTTGGTTTCACTGCAGCTTTGGATGGTTTCTCTTCATATTCTTGCTCATGGTCAGATTCAGTGTGACTATATTCAGGTTGCTCAGTTTCCTCTTCTGCTGCATACTCAGCCTCCGGGGCTTGAGCAACATTTTCACAAGTCCTCCTCTTTTTAGGCTTCTCTTCAACAGGAATGCCATTATAACCATAAAAATTATCCTTGGTCCTTGAGGCCATAGCTCTTGCCTTTCTGTCATGTTTAAGTTCAATGCGCTTAGCCAAGAGCTGTTCTTTCTTTCTTCTTTCTTCCAGTGCTGTAAAAGAAAACCAGGAGAAAGTTATGCAGAAGCACTCCTTTATTTAAATTTCTTCCAGATAAGATATTTATGACAGTAATTTAGGTATCTGGCTAACAGCTATTCAAAATAGACCATAGCTAACCCACCTGAACAAGCTATTCTTACAAACAAAGGTGAACAATTAAGTCAAATACTGCTACTGCAAAACCCATTAATGTTATTCAACCAAAGCAGCTTTCCAGAAAGCTATGCAAACTAAGGAGAACTACTGGGTGAGGAGGTACAGGACTTACAGAATTTCTGGGTAATGGAAGGAGTTCTGAGACTGAGCAAGAGAACCTTGAGACAGTACAGAATCTACTGTCAGGTGTTTATGGGAAGATGAGAAAAATGGAGGAAATCAGAGAGCACTGGGGGGATAAGAACCAGAAAACACACTGAGTGTGTGTAGAAGGGTGTAGGGGAGAGAGGAGCCAGGCACACATAAGCAAACTGGTGGTGGCTACATTTGTCTGACAGAGAACTGTGCCCTATCTCCACAGTCTGTCCTATATTTTTACTGAACTGTTTTTAGCTAATTTCTTCACAGCCATGCTCTCTAGCTCAAGTGTGAATGTGATCTGCTGATGTAAAATTCAGGCTGAACTAGCTGGTGAATAGGATGAGAGGTTTGAATGTCAGATACTGGGGAGACCAAGGGAGTGGGTGCCAAATACCAGAAAATACTCAGAAAACGCATCAATTCCTAGAAAATGGATTGGGCTATTCATGCTCTGGGTGCCTGTAAAGGTAACACCCCCTACCTATGTTATTCTGTTGTCAAGGGCCATGACTGTACAGAGTGTGAGTGCATGCATGCCTATGTGGAATTCATGTTCAGTCTTGCTTCTGGCTGGACCACAATACAGGGATAAGGAGCAGGCTCATTACAGGACCAGAAGAGGAAGAATAACACCTGGGTCATCCAGTCCATCAGATTTGGTTACCTTTATCAAAGCACTGACATCAGAAGCAACACAGTATTAGCTTATTTTACAGACTATTTAAAGGAAATACAATACAGTGGAAAAACTGTGGCTCAAACAAAGCTGCCGCCTTACAAATGTGAAATTCGGACTGTATCAATACACTAGATTAAGACACAACAGGAACTTTTACCATTTTTCCATGCACAAAGCTTTTCAAAATTAAGTTACCAAAAGTCCAGATGATTTCTTGCAATACCTCTTCTCCTTACCTACTCATCTCCAACAGCAAATACTAGTATAGTTGATACTTAAGTCATGCAAAAAATCCCTAGTCTTTACTTAGTCTTGGCTTTCCCTCAGCATGTTAGGTACATAAATTCCAGTAACAGATGTGTAGCCATAGTGGCTAGAGCTTTTAGTAAGGTGACAAGAGTCTCAGGGTCAGTGGAAGTCTCCCACAGGAAATATTTTGAGCTGCTACCTTTCTTTCTTTTCTCTTCTTCTTGACGTCTGAGGAATGCTTGCACTGCTGCAGACTCTACACCCTTGACTTTCGGAACCTTTCTGGGAGGACCAACAGCCAAACTGTACCTTTTCTGTAAAGAACAAAGAAATATGTCAGAAAAGTTAAGAAATGTAAAAATCTTAAAAGTTTTTAAAACTGACAAGTTGCATAACAGTCATGTACTTGACTTTAGGCAGGGATGGTACAGGATAAACACACATGAATTCCCACTGAAGCAGAGCTGTGATGGATACACTTAACTCCCAGCTGTACTTTGGTTCATGCTAAGGAGCAATAGGCCTCATATCTTTGGGGTGAACTTGCGAACTAGAACCCCCCCCCATCTTGTTTATGTTATTGATGAGCAGACAACTACTTACTTCACCCTAAGAACATTATTATCCGGATGGGTGCAGTCTGAGCTCTCCCTGAACTGCAGCTGGACTGCATGTCTGGTGAATCCCTTGAGCATGGACACCTCTCAGGGTTAGAGATCCCTTACCCAAGACTAAAAGATCTTTCCTTACCCAAGGTGGAGAGATTGCTTACCTGCAACAGATCCTCAGTGACTGACAGCATGCTGAATTAGTATCATGAAACATTACTAATCCACATAGCTATTCAATGTTATTATAAGCATTACATGGATATTTTCATTACACCTAAACCATTGACCAAATCTGAGACTAAGACTGGAACCAGCCACAGCTGGGCTCCAGAAGCAGTTCAGAAAGCAAGGGGATCAACTCGGATCCTAATGATTCAATGGGAGAGATCTCCTTACTCTGTCTCTGGTCCCTGTGTGAATCATTCTAACCCAACCTGAACTCAATTTTCCTTCAAATGTTTTTTCCACGCAGTAGTTAATAAGGTGAACTTTGCCATCAAACTTACTGAACCTTGTCAAATCACTGTTAAACTCTGTTAAATTCCACAGAACTTACTGAGCTCCGTAAAAGAGGAGAGTGAGGTGCATTCCAGTCATCCGCAACAAGAGCACACTCAGTTTTTGAAGGAATGAACAGGAAACCAGAAGACAGGTAGGGAAACCAAGAGAATGAATGAAATGTACTGGACTGAGAAGGAATGAAACAACTGTATCAGTAATGAAATACAAATATTTCAGTCCAGCCTTAGTCTCTAAATCAAGCAGGAAACAAAAGTAGACTAAAGCCCAAGCTGCCAGAGTCTGTGCAATCCCAGGCTACAGGTTTCCAGGTCCATTAGGGCTTTCAGCTTTGTGGACACTTGGTTTCAGGTTGCCTTATTCAATGAATAAATATATCAACCCCCAAAAATTAATTACTTCAAAAGTATATTGGAACTGACTTCACCAACATAACTAGTAGATGGATCTAAACCCAGTGATACTGATTTTAGTTCTTGCTGCAGTGATCTTAGACTATTGTACATTAAGGAGTTAAGTGATCCACATACCAGCTGACCTGAACTGGTGAAGGCATGCACACTACTATACTTATCACTCGAGACAACTGGACAAACTCAGCAGACGAATGGCAACAAAATGTGCTGCTCCCACTTGGCACCTGGCAATCACACCAACTGCATGTGATGTAATTTGCCTGGAAGAGAAGGCTCCAGCGGAAGACCTTGCTTTTTAGTAGGGTCTATAGCAATAGGACAAGGCTAATGGCTTTAAACTAAAAGAGGGTAGATTCAGACTAGACATAAGAAAAAGTTTTTATAAGAGTGCTCACTAGGGCAACACCAGAACAGACTGCCTAGAGAGGTGGCAGATGTGCCATCCCTGGAAACATTTAAGGTCAGGCTGGATGTGGCTCTGAGCCACCTGCTCTAGTTGAAGATGTCCCTGCTCATTGCAGGTGGGCTGGACTAGATTATTGTTAAAGGTCTCTTTCAACCCAAACTACTGTATGTTTCTATGTCTGTACCTTAAAGCGAAGCAGGATGTTTTCATATAACACCCTTTTGCTTGGCAGAGGAAACAACAGAGCTGCTTACTTCCAAGAACATCCTATAAGAGCTCTGAAGATGCTAGCAATCCTCACCACAGACAGGATCTGCACAGCTTGCCATGCCTAGATGCCTGTCCAGTGCAGATGTAAAGTTACCTATACTATCCCCCTTTTTTGCTCCTCCTGTTTATATCCAATAAATATTTTTTTAATCAACGTTAAGAGTGCAAGCATCTTTCTTATGGAGATCTGTAAGAAACACCTGCACTAGTGTGCTATACCTGTTCAGATATTACCTTTCCTAAATGTCCCGATTATTGGAATAATATGGAAAGAAACAGACTGGAACTTCCTCCCACAAACAGACTGGAGAAGAAAAAACAACGAAAAAGAGACATTTGCAGAGGTAAATACAATAGAAGCCGGTTAAACCCTGAAGCAGATGGGAAGCAGAAGAGTATGTTACGACACAACAAAACCAACACAACCACAGGGCTTAGGGGTTTTCTTTTTCTTTTTCTTTTTTTTTTTTTATTTCAGTAGTAAGACAAATTACAACATAAACCAAGATCTTCTGCATGGCAAGTCTGGAGCCTTACCAAATGAGAGCTGTAAAATATGGTCCCAAATACAACCAACATCATTAATAAAGCCACACAAGTCAGGATTTCATAAATATCTTCCTATCCTCATGTAGCCTTATGAAACTTAACTAAAAAAATAAATTAAAATATCTGGTAGTTAAAACACCTACCTCCAAATGTTTTAGAAGCAATAACAATCAGCCAAGCTAGTATCATAACTTCCTAGATTTCAGTATCACACAATGCAAGCCTTCATTCTAATTTGATTTACTGAAACAGCAGTACATGAAGAGTTCCTTGAATTACTTCAATTACTAACACGCAAACCCATACATGACCTTGTACATACATGCACTAAGAAGCAAGGTTCTGAGACTCATTTCTAAGCTGCTGCCAAAACTGGTTCCAGGAACAGCAGCTGCAATCCCACCTAGTTGTAGTCACCTTAAGTAATTTCCAAAACTACTAAAACCAAATTACAAAGGTATGACTGCAGCGTACACTGCAGTCGTAAAACCTGATATGTTGCCTCATCACATTAAAGAGCTACTACTGTCAAGCTCATTTATTGAGTTTCATCTCTGCACAAGTGAGTTCACCACACTGTGAGAACTGATTTTGCAAATCTTTATCACTATCATCCAAGCAGCACCTGCACTATTCTGGCTTTTTACAGCTATTGCCAAGTTGGTTAAATCAACAGAGAAGCAGAAAAGTTTAGCCTGTAGGAGAGAGCAGCTCAGACTGTTCCCAGAACACCAATTATTTCCCTGGGCAGCACTTGATGACACCTCTAACTCCATACTGCTGAGATACACAAAGTGGGTACTGCTTTACCCAAAGGAAAAAGGCCATGGAAGTGCTTTTCTTCAATTGTGTACCCTCCTGAAATAGCAAGTCTTTTCCTACCTGTGGGTAGTATTTCTCCTGAGGTTTCTTTTTTTTTTTAACCTTCATCTCTGCAAATCTTGCCATAACTACCTACCCAATAACTGGCTCTCCCTGAATCGGACTAATGGTACTTTTATAATAAAAGTATGGTGTAAAGTCCATTACAGTGCAAAATCTTATTTGTTTTCCCCCTAAAACCTGAATATACTTTTTGTCCTCCATGGGATATATAGCATAAAAAGTTACTTGAGTAACAAAGAAGCAGAAAAGTGTTCCTCGAAACAAAGAAATGAATTAAAAAAAAACCCCCAACCCTGGTATTAATATGGTAAAGTAGTTAAAAACCTCACTAGGCTGTACGTGCCTACACATTCACACACATGCATACTGTTTTTTGAGATATATATATATCAGATATAGTTTATGTACTGATTTGGAGAAAATCAGTACATATACACAAGACATCCATCCCTTAAATGCAGATGCCAGCATCTAGTGGTCAGCCACAGGTAAGCTCCAGGTCCCAAGTTTAACTGTGCAACCTGCAACCAAGGTTTTGTGCTTAAATCACTGACTTTCTTTAAAAGATGGCACATGATCCTGATACAGTTGAAACTGTTTTGAGCATTCAATTATCAGATCTTGGACTGTAAAACGGATTCTGTAAAACAACTGTAAACTTCATGGCATCCAAATGAAGCCCTAAAAGGCCTAGACCCAGACACAAGCAAGAGAAGTAGTATTGCTTTTCACATTGAATCAATATTTACAAAGGTAACACCACAAAATATGAGTGATCAATTCTGCCAAATCTGATTCTCAGATAGGGCACCTTCGCAGCTAATGATTTCTGACATGTGCTTGCATATACAGCATAAAGAAAATTCTACTTGTGCTAGCCAGCATGGGCAAGTTGCAGAGGCTCCCAGAGGGTGGGGGTTTCTGTTTGCTTGTTTTTCACTGGTAAGTTGTGACCCCTGTGTGATGTTACAACACTTTAGTTAGCTTTGCTTTATCATTCATCAAGACATGCAGCCTTCTCCAGTGGGAAGTCCTTGTTTCCCCTGAAATACTCTTCAGAGTATAACTTGCTAACAACATCACTAACAGTTCATTCACCCAGTTAAGCCACACATATATCCTTGTTTGTGTCACTCCTGTCACAATGCCCTAACACTAGTTTCTCAAAAGGCAGTTTTCCAAACTGTAAGTGGTCATTTGTATTAACAGCCCAGGGGCTTCTGCTGCAGCCTTATCAGTCTGCTCCAGCAGACACCGTGCTGGTTTTTTGTGCTTTTTTTTTTTTTGTGTGTGTGTGTGTGTGCTGTTTTTTATATATATATATATAAAATCAACAGCTTACTCTGGAGTTAGACTTTCTCAGAATATGTGCACATAATCCTCTTTCAACTACTGTTTTCAGTATCTAGTTATGACAATGCAGATGGTAGTTATAAAGCATTTACTTAAAATTGTTCGATTCCTTGCAGGTTCTAACCCATACCAAGAGAAAGGCTTTACTGACAGAATATTTTAACTATAAGCTCATACTGTTACCTCCCAAACCCAATTCAACAGGGTCCCACCTCTTACTCCTAAACATGCAAAAATAGTTTTCTTAAGATTTTGCAACTGCTGTCACCACACAGGAGCTGAACCATTAGCTGAAAATAATGCAGAAATTTCTTCCCTTAAATGTTGCTTCACACAATAAGAAGAAAATTAAACAGAATACTTCATGCTTTCCTTTCTGTAGTGGTATTGTCATCCTCATCTCATCCACTTACGCAGAGACACCAGGAATAGGAAAAGCTTAAAGTATTATGCATTTTAGTAAATGTTTGCAAGTGCCTGTAACTTAACTATCAAGTTCTGTCAAGCAGAGAAAATGCCTTTCTAACCCTTGCCAACTTTTTATATTACATATCTAGCAGTTCTCCTGGTGTGGATGTTGATAGAATACAAAACATTTGTAGACCCTGTTTTAAGACAAGTTTTAACAATAAATACATGAACATTCAAACAGGAATCTGATTCTATAATAGCAATCGGTACTTCACAGCTGTTCTCAGTATTTCTCTTGCAGGGCTTCTCTTCCCTATGGGAAAACATACCTTGCAGGTGACAATTTTCATGGGCAGGCTCTGAGAGACACAGGGTCCTCTCAACAAACTCCGTGACTTTGCTACTCTTTTACTTTGCGAATACTTAGTTCCCTGTTGCTACGCGTATCTGTCAACTTTACCAGAGGGTATTTTGTAACTTTGAATACTCACTACCTATCAGTCCAACTTAAAATGAGACTTTAGCAAGTGCTGAGGTGGCTGCCCAGCTGTTTCAGTTTTGGGTCACCTGTTCTTGGTTGAATGATATTCTGTATCAGATGTTTTGCACCAAAGACCCAGACTCAGTTAAAAGGAATGGGCAGGTGCACGAGATAATTTCTAATAAATTATTAATGACAGTAGAAAGAAGGTGAAATAAAAGAATGACAGTCCCAACTATGCTCAGTGGGTGCGTGTGTTTGTTTTTTCTTTGAACTGCAATACAATTTTATGCTTTAAGAATATCTTCCATTCAAACATCTCAAAGTGCTTCCCCACATCCATCAAGTCACATAAAACTTGTTGCAGCATAACAGAATATACCAGTTTCACAGAGAAGTGAAGAGCAACATAGACAGTATTAAAATTTTACTAAGATAAACATTAGATCTCTTAATTGACATCATGTCTAATCAAAGCAAGACCATATTGGAAATTTAATAAGCTGCTAACATGAACACATTTAACAAGATACACACACATGATACAGGAGTCCCTGTGGAACATTACGTGAGGAAAAACGGGGGCTCTTTCCAGCAATTGTTATGAAGATTATTAGCAACACATCATTAATAGCTTTACACTAGTTCATATACCTGCTGTTTTATTTAGAAACAAAACCTGTTGCAATTAATAGGACATTGAAAGGCTGATTTCAACAATATTCCTTTTGAATCTGGATTTCCACAGGGAGATGAACAAACAGATCCATTTTTACAGGGACATGATGCAATACCTGTTTTATGCAGCTCCCCCTTCCACAATACAAGACCATATTATCTCTTAAATAGAGTTTTTCTATAGTTTCTACTTTTGAGATACATACTGTAGTGCATGTTACTATTTTTCATTAAAAGAGGCATGGAATGTTTAGTTTAGTGCACTGTAAACTTTAAACTTCTCAAATAAAAACTCAGACAATATGCTGATTAACCCAGGAATGGATATTGCTGGAAACCTGTTAACTTGACACACCAGTAAGTTTTGTTATTAGCCTATATGGCGTTTTTAATAAAAAATATTTAAGATTAATTACATTCCTATATGCACATTTTATGTACAAGCTTTAATGCTGGAGTTACTTTGATGTCCATTGATCAGGCCCACTTTTGAAGCTTAACAGCTGCAGACAACCTCAGGCAGCGCCAAGTGTAACTCCACTTTTGCTCAAAAACTAAGGCCAGCTTTACAGTTAAAAAGCTACATGGTCTAGAACTGAATTGCTCCAGCTATGGATTGAATTAATCGTGTAGGCAAATCCTAATCTTGCCTTTACTAAAAAGAGTAACAAAACTGTCATCCACTGCACAACGAGTAGGACTGCCTCTCTCTACCATCACATCTGCAATAGAGAACATAGCAGATTTCATCAATTCATCATCATGGCTTGTAACTATTTGTGACAAAAAATAGCAGTACACTCCACTAAAGCTGCAAGAGCAAACTAAGTAGATAAAAATAAGTTTTAAACATCTGGCATAAGAACTACAACATCCCAACAACAATTTAGTGGAACAAGTTGTTTGAAGAGTCATAAATAGATATTTAGTGATCTTAAAGTATTTATACATTTGATATTTTCATATTTATGTTACAAAGTAGACCTCTACATAGGGTCAAGAGGCAACCTAAATCAAACTAAATAGTGAATACATTTTATCAGATTTTTAAAACATGGTAATATCTGACAAGTTATCTCCCATATGGCTGGTCCATATTGCCAACTAGTCACAGTACTGGTGAACATTACCAAATGTTTTACAAATGAAACAGAAACTGAGATACTATCAATTCTACAGTGTTCCCACTTCAGCAATGTCAGAACTGGAGTACACTTTTTTCTGCTTTTTAGGATAAACTGTAGAAAAACAACTACCCCTCCCATTTACACTGGTACAAGCAAGATAGTAACAGAAACATAGAACTCTGGCACTCAGTTAAAGAACAGACCCGAAAAGTGTTTCTCTAGCTCGTGGCTACCAAAAAGAATTTTATTTTTTTTTTAATCCAAATAAGCACACGACTTATAATTTGGGTCCTGTCAAAGGAATGAAACCCAGTATATGAATGTACCGACAGGCCACAGGCCCTTCCTAGCAGCAGACTTCATTCAGCCAAGTAAGTGGGTTATTTCATACTGAATCAACATAAAACTTTTACCTTGAGCTAAAGTATAAACTGCTGAAATACAAACTTCTGAGTAATATTCATAACAAATCAAATGCCTTTCACCAGTCATCCCCATGTAGTTGTTATCCCTTAGCAATGGATACAAAGGTATTGGACAACACAGCATATTCATCCCAAACTTGACATTCTTTGTCTCCGACCTGCATTTGAGACGTGGCAGACTTCTGTTTTCAGAGCAAACAAAAGGGCTTATCCAACTTCTAACAACAACCCCTGCACCACCGTTTTCTCTCTCGGGATCTCGGCGTTTTCGGCGACCAGAAAGCGCAAACCCCGGCAGCCCCTTCCCAGCCCCAAGACTGCCCAGACCTGCTGACAGGAGGGGCCCCGCTTCGCCTCCCCCATGCCGGCGCCTCTCCGGTACCCTAAAGCGAGTACCTCGGCCCGCGAGGCGGAAGACGCGGCCTCAAGGCTGGCCGGGCAGGCTCCGCGAAGACCAGCCAGGCCCATACACCGGCCTCCTCGGGCGGCCCCCGCGGCAGGGGCCGAGGAGCGGGTCAGCAGCCCAAGCGGGACCCTCAGCGCCCGGTGAGGGAAGCACAGGGCTGCGGGCCCACCAGCTCCTCCCTGCACGGCCCCGGTAACCGCTCCCCCGGGGCCACGAGAGATCGGGCAGCCGGGGCCACCGCCGCCCCAGCGGCTGTAGCGGTCACCGTGCCCCGGCCCTCACGTAGCCCGCCCTCTCCGTCCACAGCCCCGACGACCCCCGAGCTCACCGGCACAGAGTTCAGCCCCTGCTGCTCCGAGGCCTTCACGAGAATATTATGGAAATCCATGGCCGGCTAGAGAGGGGCTGAAGCACCCGCCCTCGCCCTCCTCCTCTTCGCTCCTCTCCGCGCCCGGCAGAAGCGCCCCCCACCCGCAGCCCACCCCTCCGCCGCAGCCGCTCGGCTCGGCTCGGCTCCGCTCGCTTCCGGCCGCCGCCGCCTACCCTTTATATCACCTCGCCTCGCGCCGGCGTCATCCGGCCCGCGCGTCACTTCCGCTGTGACGGGCGCCTCGCCTCTGGAAACGCGTCCGTTGCAGAGGGCGGAGCGGTAGCGCGTGCCGGGGCTCGCAGGGGCGCCTCTCCAGGAGCCCCGCGGAGCAGCGAGGCCTGGGGCTGAACCGGGCGCGGCCTAATAACGGCCTCCGGGGCCGGCTCTGCCCCGCCCCGCCCCGCGCTGCCGCAGCCCTCCGCCGAATTGTGCCCCTCCGGCCCCTCTTCACCTCGGTGTCACCCAGACTAACGGAGCGCCAGGGTGTCCTCGGTGTACGGACAGGTCAATAGACCAGCGCAGGGGGCTAGTGTTGTGTTTTGGATTTAATAACACCTCTTGCACCTCCGGTGGCGGTGAGGTTTGTAGGGTCTTGAAAGGGAAAAGCTGTTCGGGGTGAGGGCTGATGTGCTCCCCCACACCTGCCCCAGTGCCCCTGGCACTCCCGGGGAGAGAGGTCAGCTGCCGAGGTGACCACGGCCGAGCAGAAACCCTGTACCAAAAGTATGTACTAAGTTTCCACAACGACCCTCCTTGGTTGGTGGGGCCTTGAAAAACGGTGCTTGGCTTCTAGGCATGTCATGGTTACACTAGCAGCACGGCCCTGGTCCCATGAACGCCTCCTGATAAACAGGGCTCCCCAGAGCAGTGCTGACTTTCGGAGGGTCCGAACAAAAACCTCTGTGTGTTTAAATGCTCTTCCAAGTCTCTCACAACCCGGAAAACTGCGCAAGAATGCAGCTGGCTGAAGACTCTTGTACCAGTTGTCAGCTCTTTTCAGGAGCTGTTATCTGAGATCCATCTGAAAAATTCCTCTACTACACACTGCTTCTAGAGAAACACAGGCACTGAAAGGAAACTCTCCCTTCCCTCCCCTCTTTATTTCATCTTTAACATAAATCCTTTTTTAACATTGCTATTCCTTGACCACTTTTCACTTTCTGTTCCTCCAGGTTCCTGCTTTTTCCGATCTCCCTTTGCCTCTTCACTGCCTTTACCTTATTTTTTCCGTATCTGAAATGCTTTTCCTAGGTGTTCCAAGCATTCCATGTTGCAGCCTGGCATAAAGGTGTCCAGTGTGGCCCTAACTGAGATGAGGAACAGGACAATATTTGGAGTGAGGCATCACACCAGTTAACTCACAGGGCTTTTGTAGTTCTTGAGCTAAGGGAGACCTGAAGCTGTTTCTGTGATGCTTTCATTGCAAGCAGGGTGACACTCCTGCTGATATCTCACTGCTTTCTCCTGGGCCACAGTCCTGATTTAAACCTTTGCCCCATAAGAACTTAATCTTTCTCTTCCCCTTTTAATTCTTACCTCCATAAGACACTGCACTGACTTTTTACTTCTGACTCAGACCTAGATCACCTCTTCTGGTTACCACCCTCTTTGTATTTTTACTTTCTTTAAATTTTCAGCTTAGGTATTTTTTTAATTGTAAGACTTTCCAGTCTGTCTTCACAGGCAGTGAGTGGTTCACCAACTTTCTCTCAGTTTTGGCATTCTGTTACCCATGGTGGTGCTACCAAAGATATGATGCCATTTTCTGGTAGTCTTGTCTGCCACCCTATCACTGCTGTGGTGCTTCTTGAATCAGAATTTCCCTGCTCTGTCTTGAATTTCTTGTATCTCCACTGTGATGCTTCCTTGAGAGGGCCTTTAGTATGACTCACATTGCTGTATAACAACAGCAGTATTGACAGAGCCAATGGTTGTTGCTCTATGGCTTTTATGTTTGCTTATTTTGGTGCCCGTGAGAGTTGGCAGGAATACTTGGCTAAATGCAGTCTTTATTTTGCTGATTGCAATCCTGAAGATGAGTGAGGAAAATCTCTCCCTGCATCTAAAAGAGATCAGGGGATGGCATAGCAGCTGTTTGTTGCATGCCACTTTTGGGAAACCTTTAACCACAGTCCTTACCTTTTCCTGTTTATGACAAGTGTGATACCACGTGGCCTTCAGCAGAGGGGATTTATATCTGTGTTAGGGCCAATGGGAGAAATAATAGTGCTGTGTAAATGTATGCTGCAGGCATTTTATAGGGCAGCAGCAAGTGACGCTAGCTGTGTCAGGATTCTCAGATTGCACCTGTGGCAGTTAAATCCAGTTCTAGTGCATGTTACACACCAGCACAATGCCTTAATGCGGTCCAGTCTCTTTTCTGGCAGATGTGCAACAACAAATGGGAACCTCCATGCCATGTATGCCTACAGCTCTATCCTCCCTGTGTCTTAAATCACTTCCCAAATTGTGTTCACTCTTCATAATCTTTTCATATGTTTTAAATGTGATGAACTGATCCAGACCAGGCTTGTCAGGATTCCCAAGTACAGCTGGTTTATCAGCATCAGGAGAAGAAACAAATTCTGTGCTCTTAAGCCAAACTGATATTCCTGTTAAATAAGCACCAACATAGAAAATGTTTCTTACTCATTTCACAACTCTCTGACTTGTCTGATTCTGTGCATGTTTAAGCCCAAATATATGAAAGACTTATGAAAGTCAGTGAATTTAAAACTACATCTTCCATGAAACCAAAATAAGTCCTCTCAAATCTCCCAAGAACCTGTAATTTCCGCTTTTGAAAAAGTTCAGATCGATTTATTCTTCAAGCAGGAACCTCGTTAAGTTTAATTTTTATGAAATATCTTCACATTAGGAAATTACTTGGGACTAGAACTATTTAGCAAAGACTTAGAAAATGTAAGACAATACTCCACCAGAAAGTGTCTTCACTGCAAGTTTTTAACCAGCTGTACTAAACAAGTTTTTCACCCCAGCCATGCACACTTCAGGCATGTGACTAATCCTATTAATTTTGAGTGAAGCGTGCTTAAGTGTTAAAAGGATTAGAGTATTAATTACAGGCCATCTGCAGAGGTCAAATATCAAAGGCTGTTCAGAGCCCAAGTTTTAGCATTTTCTGGGTGAGTAATATTTGTGTTAGTTTTCCTTTCCCCTGTTCACCCAGGATCCTTTCTGCAGTAACTTAAATGGTTATTCTAATATGGCCTTTATTAAATGAACTGAATCATCCTAATGGCCAACAGACAGGTCTCTAGATCATCAGCCGTTTAGACATCAGCAAAATTGGCAGGATGTGCTCAAAAGAAGCCTACAACTTCTAAAACACAGGTTTGAACAAATCCAGCTTTCATGGTGTGGTGCCAGCCTACTTTATTACTGCTTTTCATGTGAATTATTAACCACAAGATTTTTTCCCCCCTAATGATATATTAAACAGAAATGGAAAGTAGGAGTCTTGGGATGCTAATTAGCTGGTACTGACAATACGTAATTTTGACATCTAACCTTGATGTCTAAATTATGACCTTTGGCTCCAAACAGGAATATCAGAAAAACAAGGATGGGAATTGCCCATTTCCTCCCATCCAAAAAGCAGGATCAATTGTATTCAGGTAATTTCTGACACGTACGTTGTCCAACCTGTGCCTGCAAACTCACAACCCAGTGCTGTTGTGCCCCACAATAATCTTTCTTACTGTTTTCTTATCTGCACCATGAGCAATCTGTTTCAAACATCTAACCCAGATCTTTGTTGTCCACTGAGCCTTTTCAGCAGGTGAGTTTATTGGCCTCTCCCTTAGAAATACAGAGCACATATTTAGGGGCCCCCTCCTGGGTCTCTTCTTTCTCTGGGGCAAACCACTCCAATTCTTCCAGTGTTTCCTCATAAAACCTCTAATTCCTTATTCTACCCAAAGCAGAAGACAGTACTCCAACTGAAGGTTTACTGGCCCCAAGTGTAACAGCAGAATAGCTTCATTTGCCTGGCAAAAAAATACTCTTTTTTATATAACTCCTGGTGCTCTTTAACCTTTCTTGTAGTGGTATGGCTGACTCCTGTTTGGTTTGCGATCTGTGCTAACCACCAAGTCTGTTTATTCAGTGATACTATCAGACCAGTAATTCCACAACCCCCATTCCCGATGTTGGTGATTCTGCAGAGAATGAAAGCACCTCCTTTGTATTCCCTCCCCCCCCCCCCACTGTAATTTGCCAGGTTCATTGTGATCCTAAGTTTATCCTGCAAAACTTCCTGCCCCTCCAAGCCAGTGAGTTTGGTAAGCAAGTTGTCCGTTCTGCTGTCCAAGTTGTTTAATGGAGATACTCCTGCAGAATTCTGCTTGATGCATCCAGCCAAGTCAACAGTGTACTCTTGATAAATACTCTGTGGGTCCAGTTTCCACCCGGTTGTGTGTTCATCCATTTGTGTTTTTCTGGACTTGCTTATGAGATGCATGACCATGTGAGACAGTGTTAGAAGTCTTTCTAAAACAGAGATATTTCTCATCTGTGCATTTTCTGCTATTGCAGGAAATAGACAAAAACCCTTTTCTGATATGTGGTATCAGGATACATGGACAGTAGGTTGAGCTATTTAAGCAAGCAATATATTCATAAGAATTCTGAAAATATGAGGCGAAGAAAGGATTATTTTATAAGAATAAACTCCCTTCCAAAGTTACTAAAAAGAAGACAATGAAAAAAATCACCATCATAGTAAGTGTGGAAAAAACAGTATTTAAATATTGAACAGCCAGCACAGTGCTCAGATATTATAGAGTTAATATGAAAGCAAACAACATATGTGAGACAGTCTGCAAAGCAATAAGGGTTTTCCTTAGTGATAAGGTGGATTTAGATCACTGGAGAAACAGCCTTTGGGGAGAGGATCCAGATAAGAAAACCTGGACTGAGAGCCAACTGCCCCAGTTTAGTGAGCTGTTTCCATCAGATCCATCATTCTGTGCTGGCAAGCTCTCTGCCCTAGAAATACCCACAACCAAACCCCCTGTCTGCATTTCATCCAAGCTTC